TTACAGTAAACTGAGGATAAAAGGAAATTTCCTTTAGCTTGACAAAAGGTAACAAAACCCTACATAAACATGATGAAATGCTGAAAACAAGCCCTCTTAAGATTCAGAACTAAAAATACCTTGTACTCTAACCATTAGAAGCACATTATTCAGTCTGTCAAAGAAGTTCCATTAGGCATCCATGAAACTCAGTTTTGGATCCCAAAGCGAATTTTTGCTGCCACACGTAACATGCTAATAACGGGCACATAGATAAGAGGAGAGATGCGTCAGACACATTCACTTTATTCTAGGTCAGGCTACAACTGTGACTCAGTCAAGTTCTTTGCTCTCTAAAAACTACAAAATTTGAAGGACAGAGATGAACAGCAGTTTACTTTAAGAGTAATAGTCTTCATGAGAGAAAACAGAAATGAGAAAAATCTGAGTCTATTAAACCTCTTTAATTGAGCTAGAATTTTATATAGTTTTTGTTAAATCAAAATTCCAGAAAACTTAGCTCATGCCTTTGAGCTCTGAATCCTTGATCATAACCATTCAGGAAGAAAACTTTCTCAAACAGGTTAGGCCAGTTCCTCCTTCAGAAGACACGGCACACAAGGGGCCTTCTCCTCAAGTCCCTGGGGCCCTATGTTCTGACTGTTGATTGTATCATGCTAACCTACTACAACACTGATGCCCCTATGGGCTCTACAAAAGCAGAAGATTATTTCACCACAGAAGCATTTCCTTAAGTTTTGTGTCATTTTGCTTCTTTCCTTGATGACAAGTTAAGTGAGAGAGCAGTGTATTCTAAAGTTCTTTGATGATATATTTCTTAGTGGAACCTCTCCATTGGAATTATGGAACTTTCCTCAACTCAAGATATAATGAGATATGGTATAATAAAAGCTAAAAATACATATGGCCAGTACTATGGGAATAACATAGGAATATTTTCTAAATTCCTCTGCTCAGCACATGTAAGCATCATAAATAACATCATGAAAAAACTCACACGATTGGGATGGCTAAAGGAAAAGCACTCCTCTTCTAGGAGCAACCGGTCTGGCAGGATAAATGGAACATGTCTGAACATGCCAAATTGCATGTTTTTTCCTCTCCTTGCAAGGAGGAAATTACCAATATAAATCATGGTTTTCAAACATAGTATTTTTGTCTAAAAATAAACTTAACTTTCAAGACTTATACGTAGTATACAAAATGACATAAAACATTAAAAGCGTACATTTTTTTCTTTCCTTATTATCATCTTAGAGATAGAGTCTCCCTATGTTGCCCAGTGGCTATTCACCGGCATGATCCCAACACTGATCAGCAGAGGAGTTTTGACCTGCTCTGTTTCCAACCTTAGGCAACCTGGTGGTGTCCTATTCCTGGGATGTCACCATACTGAAGCTGGATTTGGTGTGGACATTTGATCAGCATGGTCAGTCCAGCCTAGAACTCTCAGACTCAGACACTCTCTTACACCTCAGCCTCCCAGATTAGCCTCTGGAGTAGCAGGGGCTATAGACATGTGGCACTGTGCCTGGCCAGATGTATTTTTTTCTTTTTGAGACAGTCTTACTTTCTTACCCTCACTAGACTGCCGTGGTATTATAGCTCACAGCAACCTCAAACTCTTGGGCTCAAGAGATTCTCTTGCCTCAGCCTCCCAAGTAGCTGGGACTACAGGCATCTGCCACAATGTCTGGCTATTTTTTAGTGACACAGTCTCGCTCTTGCTTTAGAGATGGCTGGTCTCCAACTCCTGAGCTCAAGTAGTCCTCCTGCCTCAGCCTCCAAGAGTGCTGGGTTACAGGTGTTTTGAGCTATCATATCCAGGCCCTAGGAATGTACTTTTGACTAGATCACAATTTAGTTGTCTGAAGTATAATCCTAGCAAGCTGTCATCACTACAATTAACAGGTACTGAGGACAAGTAAGATACAGAGCTAAATGTAGTCTTAAAAAAAGGATCTATCTGAATCATGGTTTTTATCCTCAAAGAGCTTATCTATTGAGCTTAACAGAGAAGGCATACTGAGCAAAATTAAAAAGGTATGTGTTAAGGACATGGAATGAAATGATAATGTAGGAATTTTGTAAGATTCTGAAGTTTAAGAGATGAATAAAGTTTGAGGTTCAAACGGGTTTATCAAAGTCACTTACTCAGCTTTTAGTAGACATCAGTGGATGTTGGCAATCTGAAAAAAGTCATTATCAAAACAAATGGCGCAGCTATAAGTGATGTGGTCATAAGTTAATGTTTGGTTTTTGCCCGTAGCACCCTATTTAGTAGTGTCTCAGCTGCTCTGAGGCCTGATTTCTTAACTGTGAAATGGGGTTTTTTCTACTCTGCCTCCATCAGAAGGCTGTTAAAATATTCAAGTAAGACTATAATTCTTTTTATCCTGAAAAATATATCACATACTTGTGTTAGGGGGTTAGTTTTGAATAGTGCCTCTAATTTTAATTAAAAGTTCTGAGCAAAGAACAAACCACAATTACTAATAAAAGGAAACTGCCCCACTTTCAGGGAGACATCAAAATTATTAAATGTCTGAATATTAAGCTTGATACCATACACATGACTGTAATTACTGTTGCTTTTGCAAAATCAAACCAGGAACTTTTAATCTAATCTCATTATTATGCTATCAATATCTATAAGCGAAATCACTGCCATGTTTTTGATGTATTCTGTGTTAACATAGATATTAGATGGATGACTTTATTTTGATAGACAGGGAGAGTAAGAATGAAATTTAGGACTGGGTCATATTATATATGCTTAAAAAAAAAAAAAAAGGTGAGCTAGAACAGGGATTTAGGGTAGAGCTAGATCATGATTTCTCAAAGTACGACAGTAACAAATCTAGACTTCACCCAGCACCCAGAGACATAATCTCTCACTGAACTAAGGAATCTGCATTTTAGAATCCTGTTTCTACCCCAGTGAGGACTCCTATGCACTTTTCAACTATGAGACTACAGTGCTCTAGCACAGACACCCAACTTGTCCCAGTGTTGTTTTTGTCAATTCAGGAACCTACAGAATACTTCACCAACTTTGCCCCAATTCTCTCAAGGGTCTCTGTATTATCCGAGTGTGTGTGTGTGTGAGGTCTTTTAATTTTAGGGTCATCCTTCCTAAAGGCAGAGTGTAAGAGGAATTAAGTCAAAATGGACAGGCAGACTTCAGGGAGGAATCACCCCCCCCCCCAAATAAACACCTATTTTCTGGTTCCTGCCTCTCTATTTGGACATTTGAGGGCAGGTAATGTATAAATCTCAGTAATCCAAATTTCCCCTTTTTCTGGAGAAGGTTTGGTAACCTGGAGACAAACTCAGTTCACAACAGACTCAGGGGACCCTGTCTGCCAGCGCTGCAGGGAAGACAAATAACCTTTAGCTGAATTAGAGTATTTCTCCCCACAACTCAGCCCATTAATGCAGTATGTTATGTAAGGCTCCTGGAGAAAAAACAAAGATTGAGGAAGAAATATTAGTAAATGAGATTTAACATGAAACAACAAATATAAAGTTTACTAAGCATCTAAAAAACTGAAAATACATCCATCCTATCCCTCCTCCTCAATTACCCTCAGAAAATCAGCAAGATGCTTTTTAAAAACATCAAAAAACTATTGAAATAAAAAATGGTATCTAGGCCAGAGCTAACAAATTGGCAGGCCCAGAGGAGTAATTTTGCCCTCAGGGAGGTTTTGTTTAGTCTGCAAAGTGTTATTTTTCATTTGAATTAGTCGCCAACTTAAAAAAAAAAAATCTGCAGTTTTACATAAAAAAACAAATTTCCAAATTCTCTTGAAAAAGCACAAAGTTGTTAATGCATGGCAACAACTATCAAAAGCTCATTGGCAGCTGTCTCCTCCAGATGAGCTCCCAGTCACAATAGAGGCCCATTCCTGAGCCAGCCTCCCAATCAGTGCTCACCCCTTGGGCACTGAATAAATAGCGTGAGTGTTTGCGGCCCCTGAACCAACCAAGAGAATAAACGCCAACCAGCCACATTATGCAGATACTGTGACTTTCATAGCAAGGAAGAAAAAGGATCAGAACCAGATAAATGCCTTATAATTATCTTGCATTTCATCTGGAAATCAAGGTTGACAGTAAATATTGGTAGGTATGTTGCTTAGACCAGGCTGAGGAAAGATACTTTCATACATTCTCCCTTCTGCCCTATTGCTGCCATACCCATCCCCAAAGCAGAGCAAGAAAAGATAGACATGAAATACAATGGTCCCCATCTGGCATCCTTATTAACATCATTGAGCACTCTCCACCCAAGGTTATCTCCTTATCCCAGACAAGACTGGAAATAAAAACAACTGGCCCCGAGAACGTATTGTATAAAGGAGGGATGTAAGCATGCAAAATTCTAGAACATCACAGATAATGGGCCTAGAAGGCTGGGACTTCAGAGGTCAATTTTGGTGTCTACAGGAGGTTCCCTGTATGCTTTTTTTTGATTAATGAATGACCCTGGACATGTTACCCCATACCTCATTTTCCTTATTAGGAATGTGAAACATCCTGGAGTATAAGTAAGAGATTTCTATCTCAAATGTAAATGAATAAATAAGATCCTAAGCTAAGCTACTCTCTTATTGTTAAGATGTATTAAAATCAGATGAGTAATAACACCTCCTGTAACTCAGCTATCTTTCCCAATGAGTTCAATTCTAGTATGTGGTATCCAGTGAAGAGCCAGGAACCTGTCCCCAGGAGGGTCAAGAGTCTGTGCCCTGGGCAAGTGCTCCTCCAGCTCTGTAAGGCTGGATAGTCCTCAATTCTCTCTCCCTTCCTTATTCCATAAGAATGTTGCGATGTCCAGAAACCATTTGGAGAACCTTGGGGACAGGGTGGTATAAAATGGATTATATTCATATTCTTCTTCTTCTTCACAAGATGCTTCAGTGCAAGAACTTGTTAGGTACCTGGCAAATATGACCAACCCCGTCCCCTCTCCCAGTGAGAAAGGTCACACCCACCTCTGTTCTGATGGATACTGGTTTTCAGGCATCATCTTTGGCATCTGCAGGGGCTGATGTGGTGGTCGGGGGACCGCAAATGTTTGCTGCTGTGGTCCAGGCTCTGGAAGCGAATGGGGGGTGGGGCCCACACCTTGTACTGGGCCAGCTGCAGGGGCTGAGGTGGGGAGAGTTGCCTGAGGTGGGGGAAACAGGGAATTTGGATGGGTGGGTGACAGAGGGGTGGAAGGAGGGGTTAATGGCTTGAACCCAGAGGGAGGCTTCCTATCATAGGCACTGTAAACAAAAAAAGAGAAGGAACCATTCAGCTGAAAGGAAGCCATTCGCATGGTAACCAGGTCCAGCAGACCTCTAGTTTGCAGCCCATTGTTGCCAGGAAATGACAGTATTAACATAGTTAAATCCCTAGCAGCCCTGAGGGAATATTTGTACCTCGGAGAAGTGACAAACACACTGCGTCACAGAGACTTGTTTAACACTTCTAGTGATTTTTCTCCAAGATAATTTTAGACTCTGCTTCCGGTTTCCTTTTTCCCTCCTTCTAAAAGAATCGTCTATGTGTGCACGTGTAGGGGCGAGGGGAGAACTGAGGCTTCGTCAGGTGTTCTCTGGTGCCCTCTCCCAAGTACGCCACAGTTCCCAGGAATTAGAATCTCTGGAGAGGGTAAATTTCTGCTGTAACATCACCTGAATTAACAGTTCTTCTCCTCCCCCTTGCCAGGCAGATCTATGTTTATCTTCTAGAGCAAAGAATGATTTAAAATTAAAGCTTTGTTCCTGGGGCTCGGATATTCTTAAGTAAAGGGCACAAGCATCGGGATTTTTTCCATATATTCTGATTTGAAGATTACTTCTTTGGTGCTTAAAGTTCACATTAACATATATGATAGACATGGAGTATATATTACCTGGCTTGAAGCCACAGATCAAATATCCCAGTATTAGAGCTTCTGTCCCTAGAAGGACTTGGTAGGTACCCAATGAACTGAGCTCCCTGCAAAGCCACAAGGCTGCAGCTAAAAGGCTATACTGCCAAGGAAGAAGGGCAGGTTCTAGCCCGAGGGTCTGTAGGACAGCCCCTGGAACACACTCAGCTTGATGGCTAGTTCCACAACCTTTCTGGGCAGCCTTTCCTTCACCTCCACTTATCCACTTACCAATAGTTGTAGAGGCACTTTTCTCCATAGTTAGCACCGAGAGCCTGCTCGTGACTACAGGAGGACAGCTCAGAGGAGGGGCTGTGCAGCTCCCGTTTGATCTTGGTCGGAGGTGGGGCATGAAGCACCACTGAAATCAGAAGAGGGATGAGGGAGGAACAGAGAGGACAGCTGATTAATAGGGAGCACAATGCTTCCTCTGCAAACCTTCTCACTAGCTGATTGTTCTTGGATTTCATGTCAAGTCATGTGCTAGAAAAGCAAAACAAACACGCAGCTTTCCATCTACAGCCAATCAAAAGTTCTTTAAGGTCAGAAATTATCATCTGACACTTCAAATTAACCGCGTCTTTTTCCCCCAAACTTCTTTGGCCATAGGTCTTGCTTCCCACAGGCTCTGAAACTCCTGAAAATCCTACAAGTGATGAGTCTTCAGGAAAAACACAGGAGGTGATAGAATACGAAGAGTTGTAGACATGAATACTTTTCTTTTCGAAAAGGACAAAATAGCCAAAAATGTGCTGGTAAACATTATATGTTAACTCATCAAAAGGTTAAAATTTCTGTGGCAAATCCACTTTCTATTTAGAGGCATATTTACAAATTAAATATAGCATTTGGTAAATGTTCTTTCTGAACTAACTCTAAATATCTGCTCCAAATAAGAAATAGTCAACGTTAGAAGTATTACAGATTATTTTAATAGCAAAGCAATTAAAACAACAGACCAATCTACCACGTAGGAAAGGTTAGCTGCATACAGGTGAAGGCCTGGCTACCTTTGCGCTCACAACATCTGCTCTAGGCCTGTCCTAGTGACCAGCTAACAGGGGCAGGTCGTCATAACCAGATCTTTTGTTGAGGGTATCAATGACTTCTCCTGAATTAAAAAAATAAGTATATGCAGCTGTTGTTTTAGGTTTGGAAACCAACTAGGTATTCCATACAGGATTCTGAGAGTAATGAGAATTTTTCAAATCAAGGTGCCTTGCATACAAGGTCTGACAATTAAGTTCACAAACTCATCCTAGAAAAAAAATGCCACAAACCTCATTACTGAATACCGCTATGGTTACCTTCAAAGTACTGCCCCCTTGCCCATCTGGTGACCATCACAATATTCAGTAATGAGGTATATAGCACTTTTTCTAGGATTAGTTGGTAAACTTAATTGTCACCTTCTATGACGACAACGCTGATGGTCATTCCAGAAAAAAAGTTCCGTTCCAAAATTGCTTTAAAGGATGGACGAGGCACTGGGTCAGCGCATAGCTTCCCAAGAGGAATACCTTGAAGGTGAGCACAGTGATCTTCAGCAAAGAGGTATGTAGCTCTTTTTCTAGGATGAGTTCTGAAATTTAATTATCTGACCTCATATAGTGGCCAAAACCCCCTAAGGAAAAGAAAACCAGATGTGCCTTTTCTACTTTATCTAGGAGCTGAATTGTTTCAGAGAGAGCATTTTATCCAAAAGAGAAGGACAAATTCTAAAGATGCCGCACTATGAGGGCCGTCTTCTAGCAGCGAGTCTGAAGGGCCATTCCTGTCCGCTGCCTAGGAGGGTGGGGGCGAAGGAGTTAAGCTTCAGTGCCGGCCACTTTCTGCTGTATAGAAGGTTTCGTTAAATAGTTAACCACAGTTAGGCTCTGGTGGCACACTAACATTTTCAGTTTGACTCAGTGTTTACTTTTAGGAGTGAGCTCTTAGTGATTATTGTACTAAGCAGAGTTAACTATACGATCATCATTTTTTTGTCTGGTAAGACCGAGTCACCTTCCAGAAGAATAATCTTCCAACTGGTTTCTCAGGTGCCTTCTAGAACCCCAGATTCTAGGCTCAGCCATGAACACACGAGACCGATAATTCTATCAGAGATGACAAGGTTATAAAGCAAAGTCGCTGCAAAGTCCTGCCAACGACTGACTGGAAAGGACAGGTTTTCATAATTCCTTTCTTACATAATACCAAACACTCTTCCTGAATACATGGAATAAGCTGAGAACTAGCAGAGTATATTTAGAAGTCATTAGAGACGCTCTCGTGATTTTTTGATGGTGACATCATGGCAACCAACACTCAATTGTTATCAAATGTTTTCAGACATTCACACACAGAAAATAGCTAAGCTTGTTTGAATGTTGTTAGTAAATGAGAAGGGAGACTCAGGCGATTTGACAGGGACAGTCACTCCTCCCCTGCCGTGGGTATTCTGACATTTTCAGCACTGTCCCTGCATCACCGCTCTCACCTCTTACCAGTGTTCTGCTCTAAAAGTTTCAGCAAAGTAATGAAAAAAGTGAATGATGCTTTAATTTGAACAAAGGTTACAGGTCCTTGAGGAATCTACTCTTCTTTATCTAAAGATAATTATTCACAATCAACACTTCACCTAAGTTTGGAAAGTAAACAATTATTGTTTAATTTTCTCATTTCAGGTTTTAGAAGTGTCCTGAAAGTTACCAGTTCTGCTGACAAGACTAATACCACAGAGAAAACCAAAGCTGCCAAGAAAGAAAAATTGTATAATGGTTTCTGGAACTGCATCTATTTATTTAAAAAGAGAAACTAAACTGCCAGGTAATTCTTCTGTCTTGTTTTCTTCAAATCTAGACAGTACTCTTAGCGTGTACCACATCATTTTTGTTCCAAATTATATAGTATCTTCTATCCCCAAATTGTCTTATATGCGGAATCTTATGTTCTCTCTACAAAAGAAGAGTTCAAGAAATATTTCTATATAAATTCTATAAATATTTCTTATATGTACTTCTATATAACCCATTCATTCTTAACCTTGAAGGCGGGGACCATATCTACCCTACAATTCCAGGCACAATGTTAGTTATAAATACTTCTTCCCCCAGGAAGTGACCATTTGAAGGAGAGAAGAAACAGGACATGGGAGGAACGAGAAGGGAAAGTTTCAAAGATGTGCACTACAGGAAAGCCATCGGGGGCCCTGTGCCTTGCGAGGACAAAGGCTCAGCTCTCCCAGAGGCCTGCTGGGCTAGAGGATGTGTGAAGGAGCCTAATTATGGCACGGCTTAGTCACAGATAGTAGTGTATTTAAAGCAGGAACTCAGAATCCCAAGAAATGCTCTCTGCTTTCAGCCTGTTTCCTCATTTGTAAAATGAGGTATGCGATGCTGCCTTGAGAAATAAAGATGGCACAGCACCTTGCAGATGGTGCTATGATGTTGTATAATTATACCCTGTGCTTTCAAAAATAGAGGATTTTACCTTTGCACAGCTGACTTACTAAATGATGATGGAGACCCAGGACTGTAAAGAATGGCAACAAATTGGAACTGAAATAGGATCATGAACTCTTAAGGAAGTCTGAGAAAAATGCTGGAAAAGTTGACTGGTTTGAGCTGATCAACATCTTCTACAATCACAAACTTGAGTTTAAGCGCAGAGTTATAGAAGATGGGCCCACAAAGCCAATGGTGCCCTGACACTTAAGTCCTGCTGAATATGGACCTCCTTTTTTGTCATGAAGATCATTCATTTATTCATTGAGTATCTTCTACAGGCCCAAGCATTCCGGAGGTGCTGGGAAATGACCGTAAGCAAAACAGACTGGTCCTTTCCTCATGGCATGCAAAAGGAAGGGAGGGATCTGACTTTTAGCATCTTCTTAAAGATGTAATAGAGACAGCCTAGGGCCTCAGTAGGCTTATTTCAAGCCCTTACATTTATAGATGAAGATCTTTAGGTCCAATAAAGTCTTAGGGCTGCTGCTGTTAGGGGGAAGAAGCAGCAAGGGCTTCCCACTGTCGTTTTAGCAGTCTTCGACCACACTGTTAAGAACAAGAGATATTTTAACCACCTACGTTATACACTAAAAATAGAAGGCATAAACCTTTTTTTCAACTAAAACAACAAAATACCACATCACACCTGGTTGAGTGAATGTGCTCTAGCACAAAGAAAGATGGAGAGGAAGAACTAATACCTCTGGGAAAGAACAAGGAAAGCAGACTGAGAAAGAGGTAGCCAGACAAGACACCTTGCCACTTACTTTGGCCGAGCTGCTCTTACATGCCTTATTTTATAAAATCTCCCCAACAGTGAGAAAGCTGCTTCCACTGTCTCCATCTTACAAATAGGAAAACCAGTCTTAATCTAACTTGCTACAGTCACACAGCTAGATTCTTACCTAAGCAGTTCTTAGTCATTTCATTATACTTGGCTAGACAACTGAAGTTTGTGAACTCATCCTAGAAAAAGTGCTACCATAATGTTGGGGGGCCTATCAGTTAGAAATAAACCTTTTCCCCTCCTCCCTCTCCTGAGACCTAGTTAGACCCACCCCCAAAGTTTGTGCCAAAGAACTCACTAAAGCCCTCCAGGGAAGCTGTGAAATTTGCCCACCCCAATAGCCCCATATAAAGGTTAGATGAAGACTCCACCTTTGCCCTGCCAGGTGGGTCATCACCTTCCCCTTTCAATAAGGCCTGAACATCTCCTCGCCGGTCGTGTCTCTGGGTGCGACCACTTACACCTATTGCGTACCTCATTGCTGAACATCACTATGGTCACCTTCAAAGTATTCCCCTTGGCCATCTGGTGACCATCGTAATATTTAGCAATGAGGCATGTAGCACTTTTTCTAGGATGAGTTTGCAAACTTAATTGTCCTACCATTTATTGCATCCCAGAAGAAATCTGAGTGAACAAAGACTAAATAAAAAGGGATTAAAATAGAGAAACTGACACAGAAGGAAGGCAGCACAGGAGGAGACAATGGGAAGTGTAGGTTTTGCCAACATTCAGGGCTGTGTCCTCATGTTTACTGCACCCTTTCAGCTGGAGGTACACCTCGTACACCGATACCCAAGCAAGGACTCAGGACTGAAATTTTTTCTTGTCCCTTGGACACCAAAATGCCCAGTGGATCTCTGTTTTACCCTTAGCGGCAACCATCATCTTTGACTCCAGCAGCCTTCACTTTCTGTGTGATCCTTGTCTCTCATTCTGGTGTTCCATCTAAAAGGTAGTCTTTTTTCTTCTCTACACCGGCTGATCAAACCAGAAGATCATTTAGACAGTTATAAGCACTTCAGAAAATCTGGGATCTTCTATAGCCAGTCACTAACTAGCCAGAATCCACAGTTACCATGGATG